GATTGGCGGCCTCGCGGCGCGGCGCTCGGCGTTTCCAAAAGGCATTTGCACTGTGCCCGCCGTCGGGCAGCGTGGGTCCGAGGCTGCGGACCTCGCCTTTGAACAGATGGGTGGCACTTCGAGAAACACCTACGTGGGCCGTCCACGCAGTTGGGTGGTCTGCACAGCACGCTTTGCTTTGGAAAAAACTATGCATATGAAACAGATTTTACTATAAAGCTCTTAAATTATACTGGCGTTTTAGTAATAAAGTGCCTGCATCAACTTTGTGTAAATAATATATCCCTTTAAAGTGCCTGGCGCAGGCCTGGCCAGCGTGGCCTCTGGTTGAGCCATGGCCAGTGCTCCAGGGGGTCGGGGACGAGCCCCTCCATCCCCAGCAAGGGGCGTGCAGGAGGCAGCCCATCGGGGACGCTCAGGTCCCTGTTTCTCCCTCTCCTTTCCTTTCTCTAAAATCAATAAAAACATTTTTTTTTAAAAAAATTTGGCCCTGGCCAGTGCTGGTCAGTGGTTAGAGCTAGGCCTGCGCATGGAAGAGCAGCGGGCTTGACTCCTGGTCAAGGGCACCTACCTGGGCTGGTTTGATGGGTCCCCCGGCCGTGTGGGGGGCAAGCCCCCCGCGTGTCTCTCTCACGCGGATGTTTGTCCCCTTTCCAGGCTGGCACCTGTTAGCTTACCTCGAGCTGGCTAACACTGCCCGCCCCGCGCTGGTGACTCCCTGAGACCCCGCCCAAGCCCTTTCGGGGCCTTTTACACACAGGCTCACCTAGTGCTTCTGAGTGGCCCCAGGCCCAGCACCGGTGTCAGCTGACCTTGGTTCTCAGCGTGGCCTCTCCCAGGCACCCCCAAGCCCAGCACAAATAGCAGCCAGGGGCAGATGGCTTTGCAGCTCGTGCGCGAGAGGCCCAAGAGCCAGCCTGCCCTAGGCTGCTTCAGACCAGGCCAGAGGACCACCCAACCACCTCCTCCAGCAAGTGACATACTCCAGAGGTGAGCTCAGCAGGGGCACCGGATCCCTGCTGCAATGAGTTCTGCTCCGCAGGGTTGGCCCCTGCACAGCTGATCCTCTGCTGTGGACTCAGCTAGTCCTTACAGAAACTGGGCTGGGTAAAGCCCTCCCACTGACCTGACAACAGCAACCAAGGTTCACCTACAGCAGGAGGGTAAAGGGAGCCTGCACAGGGAAGCACCTGAAGCGCCCAGCTCAGGTGACCCAGGAGGCTGCCCCATGGGGCCTTATAGGACGCCTTCTACGTAAGGCCACTCTACCAAGACCAGGAGAGGTAGCAGCTCTAATACACAGAAACACACACAGAGGCAGCCAGAATGGGGAGGAAAAGAAACATGTCCCAAATGAAAGAACAGGACAAAACTCCAGGGAAAAAAACTAAACAAAATGGAGACAAGCCATGTACCAGATGCAGAGTTCAAAGCACTGGTTATGAGATGCTCAATTAAGGGGGAGGGTAAATGAACTTAATGAGAACTTCAGCAGAGAGATAAAAGCAAAAATGGAGGTAGAAAACTCACTGAGCATCCTTACACCTGAGACTAACAATACTGCACACCAACTGTAATTGAAAAATAAAGTTATTTTTCTAAAATTCAGAAGCTACCCAACATGGTTTTAAATCCTGTTTTAATCACTTTTTAAAAAAAAAAAATTTTTATATGTCTTTATTGATTTCAGAGAGAGGAAAGGAGAGGGAGGGAGAGAGACAGAAACATCAATGATGAGTGAGTCATTGATCGGCCGCAGCCCACAACCTGGGCATGTGCCCCCACCGGGAATAGAACCCCAATCGCCTGGATCCTAGGGTCGACGCTCAACCGCTGAGCCGCGCCCGGCCGGGCCTGTTTTAATCACTTTTGAGTCAAGCGCCTCAGGTTTCTACATCTGTAAAATTAGGGTAATACCTCCTTTCCTGGGCTGTTATAAAGACTGAGTAATATATGCATGAAAGGGATGGTCAACATGCTAAATTACTTAGTTTCTTATTTATCTAAGATTTTTAATCAGGACATTTTTAATTTGCCTAGTATTAATTTGCTTCTACAGTACTAACTTATTACTTTGGCTGGCCTTAATTCCTGAGTGTTACACTAACAGTCAAATAGCATAAACAACTCTCTGATATTTCTCAAAGATTATATTCAACTTAAAGCTAAAAAATCAAAAAGTGTAATGTAGTGCTCGCTTCGGCAACACATACACTAAAACTGGAACAATACAGAGATTAGCATGGCCCCTGCACAAAGATGACAAATTCATGAAGCATTCCATTAAAAAAAACCTGTACATATAGTCACATGTCCTTATTATTTAACAAATGTAATTACTTAAGAAACAATTATTACACGCATTTGCATCAGCTACT